CAGGTAAAATGCACCCAAATCTAGTCAAGGGGGTACCTATTACCTTGCTGAATACTGATGCATCATTCTCAATCCTGACTCGCACCATAAAGTACTGACTCACATCCTGCAGCTCCTTGCTGAAGCTTCCAGTAAACACACTATGTCATAGTGAGATTTGGCTCACACTGCTCCACTTGGCTAAGATCAGACTGTAATGTCTGATCTGCAATGACACACTGAGTGCTGTCTCACTCTGTACTATGGTGGCACAAACCAGCTCCAAAGGCAGATTGTATCCTACCAAACACAGACAAGACAGAAATTCACATAATCATTAAGCAAGTTCTCTTCATTCTCATAGGCACAGTGGTACCAGCTATCTGATTTCCATATCTGATTGACCACTTAAACTTAAAACTTCCAATCTCTTTAAGGAATTAGTTTTACACCACAATGATTAAGAAGTTTCAGATTGTAAGATCATTTTTTACCTTAGAAATGAGTGGGTGAATAAAACAGACCCCACCCTCTACCACAACAAAGGGACCAAATCCTCAGCGTGGGTAAATTGGCACAGTTCTAGGGAAGTCTGTGGAACTGTGCTGATTTACACCAGCTGAGCACCTCGCTTTATTTTGCTGTGCATTTTGAAGTGTAAGTCTGCTCTGAAAAGTGGTTCTATAGAAACGGCATCATGGAGCTCTGTGTTTGTTGTGTCTCACTGATTTCTATGTCGTGTGTGCTCAGTTTACAGGTAAAAAGCTATTTGGGAAGTTTTTTAATGACTGTCCCACAAAATCACTTTGGGCTCTGAAGCCAAGCTGAGTTCTCGCCTCCTCATGCATCCTCGCCATTAATAAAGGTTCTGTAGGCCAAATTTGGCCTTGATTTATATCTGTGCAACTCCATTGCCTGGCAGGTATTTGCTCACTCTTGTTCTGCAGTGCTAACAAACAGTAAAAAAAGAGAAAAAGTCCCTAAAGTCAGCAAATGAGACTGAATACCCACAGGGAACAGATCTGCTAAGTAAGAAGGCACTACCTTTACACAGTCACCTTTCAAAGTACAGTTGTACTTAAAGCAACTGCACCAGAGGTGTTGTGGTTTGTACGGGACTAAAGAGTGTTACAAGTATTATATAAATGGCTTAGACAGTTCTTAGGATAGTTGCATGGCATTTTGCATGTGGGCTCAAAGCCAACCTTACTACCGTTTGCAATCATGGGTCATACAGTACTAGAAAATCACTACTGTTGAGGCATGATACTTCTGTAGTGCAATTATTTGGTGTCAAGCACACATTAGCTGGAATATGTGCTAACAATTATGGGGCAATGCAAAAAGTTCTCCAGCACCACCTGTTAACAAACCATTGACAGTGAAATCTCAGGTCAGAAGGCAGAATTATCAACATTCTGTGAAGATGCCAACCTTCTGCAAATTAGGCTTTGATTTTCCACTGCAACAATCCTTAGAAAAATGCTATATATGAGACCCCAAGAAGCAACATGGGAGGAAAGAGATTTTAACCCTCTTACCTGAGTCTTTTACCAAAGCTTATTTTATTAATCATTAAACTGTATACAACATTGGCACTGTTTAATTATGAGGGTGTTTTTTAAAAAACCAAACACCACAACTTTTTCATGGCACTACAACATGACGAGGCATGAAAGATGGTCCGATACATCATGCTTAATAGCTTGGTAGGCAGGAGCCCAAGAGCTAGTGACTACACAACAAGGTGTGAATTACTGTGCTGTAATTATTGCCCTGGAGTGTTTTATTGCAATTAGTAACTGTTTTCATTTTTTAAAATATATTTTCTCCTATGATGAAAAGCAGAAATGAAAGTACATGCTAATAGAAGAAATGCAGGAAGAATTGGGCCCAGATCCTCAGATTGGTGTAAACAGCTTCAGCTCCACTGACTTCATGCTGTTTTGCTCTCCTTTTAAATAATTCTGCAATCCTATTTGGCATTAAGACCCCAAAGGCCCTATTATTTTCTCTGAAGTTAAACTGGAGTACCTCTAGCTCTCTCTGCAGATTCTTTTGGAGACACTGTGGTTTGGGAAGAAACTCAGATTTTTTTAAAGCAGGTTTTCATACATTTAACTTTCTCTCTCTCTCTCTCACACACACACACACACACACACACACACACACACACACCAACTTCCCCACTCCAGGTTGCTACATTTTGAAACATTTAAATCTTTACTCTGATTGTGAAGAGAATGGTGAGTTGGCGGGGGGGGGAATTATATTTCTTTAAACTGTGGCAGTTTGCGGTTCCAGTTTCAGTTAAGATAAACTGAAAGTTCACCATTGGGTCCTAAAGAAAGAAGGATATCAGAAATATTTCCAGCTCCCTTTGAAGTCAGTGGAAATGCGCCCATTGACCTTCGTGGGAGTTGAACAAAGCCCTAAATACTGAAACAGTGGCAGAAGTCACCACCAAACCTACAGAATTTTCCAGTGCTATTTTCATTGCTTTATTTGGTAGTAAATGACTGAAGGAAGAGGCAGATGGGGTCAGTGAGTGTCTAACCCAGATATTGTGGTTATGCTGCATTAGCATAATTGAATGGTATGCAATTTGTTAACCAATCAGAGCTCTTCATTTTTAAAGCCATTCTAGGACAACTACTAACGAAAATTATGTGTTTGGGAATTCAAGTAACAAAATATAAGGTTGATTTTTGGCAGTTAGATTTTTTTTTTTACTTGATGAAGACTTAGATGGGTTATGGGGTTAGTAATGGGATACAGAGCCTTTCATCTCTCGGTCACTGCTTCAAATCCTTCTCAGGTCAATAGTAATTGACAGTGGATCTTGAATGAGCTAGATCAAAATATTGGTAGCCTCTGTCCAGTTGCTAATGGGCATGTGCCTGCATCACAAAATATACCACTCTTGGGTTTCTGGCCAGGGCACAGCACTGAGGCAGTTGTACTGGCATTAAAAGAGGGGTAGAGTTCATATTTCAGTCTTCAGACTGCTGACTCCTTCAGTTTTAGACACAATCAGTGAGAAGGTGGTGCTGACCCATCTACATGGCATAACTGGAATAGGTGGTGTGACAATGCCTCCCATCATTCCTCTCCATGAAGAGCCAGAGAATGATGAGAGGTAGCTGCTGCTCCTTCCCAAAGGCACTCACATGTCAATCCCCATAGGTAGAGATCCTTCCTCACTCTTCTTCAATACCTACAGGCCAAGACAGAGCATCTGAGAGCAGGAGATAAGTATGCTGAGTCATGGGGGTTCCGCTGTGAAACCAACTTCCAGGGCAGATTAGACTAATTCAGAGTATGACCACTTTTAGGGCATGCTACAAGATCCTTCCCTCTTTGAAATAGTTTTCCTACCATTACTGGAAATGGTGGTGAAGGAAAAAAGAAGCAAATACAAATGAAGTGGAGCTTCCTCCCTCCAAGGAAGGAAGAAAAGCAGAGAGTCCAGGAAGCTCACTAGGGACCTTCTTCTGCAGTGGTGTGGGTATTAGAAAACCCTTCAGATAAAATAGGTAAACAAAAATTGGCTTCTGGGATAGCAGTCTCAGCAGATTCACCAATGACTGAATGGGCAAGAAGACTGAACTATACAGTTTCCCTGCTAGAGTTGGTCCTTCCAGGATCCAATTATCCTGGTACTCAGGTGAATAGACATATTGAAATCAGTGGGACTAGACTGATTTAGTAGGTTTAATCTGCAAGTGGCCTTACAAGTAATTTTTAAAAAGGCCAGGTTACTCCACTCTGCTTTTGGATAAATCTCCACTTCCAAACAAATGAAAGAAACGAAATATAAATCTCATCTCCATAATTCGCAACAAACCTCCAAATGTGGTTTCTTATGGAAGCTCTATGTCCTTCACCTCGAACTTGAGAACATTTCTTTCCATGCTGGTATCCATTCTGTGCATAATATCAGCTTTTTGCCACTCTGATATTTGCTTCTTTCAAAGAGACAATTAGTCAGTTTGAGCGGTAGGAGAAAATTCTCACTGCTGGGAAAACTACTGAGAAACCCCAGATTTGTGGAAAAAAGAGACAATTTCCATTCTTGCTTTGTGTTTTTTCCTGAAAGTAAAAAGGCAGCTTGTGCAGATGGGGAAAATGCCAGTTCCAGATGTGGACGCTCACGTGGCAAAAAGAGGTGGTTCCTACGATGGACGAACTGCTTTGGACAAATATAAATACTGCCCCTCATCCCTGCTACAAATCTTTGACCCCATACTTAAGCCAAACTAGTTCCGAGGCTAAAAAATAATTGGTTAACTTTCTTCTCTATTTAAAAAAAAACTGTTTGCATTTCCAGATTTCACCTAGAAGCACCAGAAATCATGAAATATCCTATCTTCCAATTTTTCAGTTCCAAGAGGCTTGCACAAGAACTCCTAATTCTGAAGTTCATCCAGCTCTAGTAGTTTCATTCATCTCTAGTAACAGACCTTCCGTAATCACTGTAATCACTATCTCTAACAAAATAAATTGTCACAGAACTAAGACTGGAATTTTCAAGTAAGCCAAAGGGCATTAGACACCCACATCCTTTTGAACTTGGCACCTAACTCCCTTAGGATCCTTTGAAAATCCCAGTCTAAATTGTCACAATTTAGCATAGCTGTCTTCTACTCAGTGACACGTGAGTCTTACTTTTGTGGCACAGGAGCAACAACACTGCACGACTGAAATACTAATGTACCTCAACCATGAACAGTTTGTGCATTGACACTTTCACCTTGGGAAGCTTAATCCGCTTTTCCCTGACCACCATAAATGTGAATTATCAAAAAGCTTCTACTGATCAAAAATCGCAGCAGCACAAATAACATTTTAAAGAGCGATTCATCTGAAGGTGTCTTAACAAAGGGGAATGTTTGAAGTAAATTGTGAACTGAAGCGAATGATAAGTTTCTGTATAAACCATTTGGTTCAGTTCCTATGTTTGATCATGGTGTTTAGAGACTAAAAATAACCTCTCTCTCAATACTTCTTTTCCTTTGCAGATACAAGGCAAGTACAGCCATCTCCTCCATGGTCCTATGATCAGTCCTACCAATACTTGGGATCAATCGCCACGCCCTCAGTGCACCCTGCCACTCCAATTTCACCTGGGAGAGCTAGTGGAATGACATCCCTCACTGCGGAACTCTCAAGCCGACTCTCAAGTAAGTACCTAAAAGTTATTCACGCTAAACAGGTACCACCATAGCCATGTGGCAGTTTCCAAACCACAGTGATACCAGTGGTTGGAGCTTCTTAGCATCTTGTTACCTTTTTACTCAAATCGGGATGAAATACATTTTGAGTCTGCAAGAAAAAGTTTTCAAGTGTTTACTTGGCTTTGGCTAAGTGATGGAGAAATCCAGAATGTCACTGTCAAAAACCAGAAGAGAAATTAATTTTAGCTGCTTTGAAATGGGAGATATGCAGAACTATAAAAATAGTTTAGATAGCTGGAGAGCTGCAATATCTGCCAAGAAATGAATGCTGCAGATGTTTAATCTCTGCTTCCTTCCCTCACACTAAATTCAGAGCAGATCACAGCAGATTAGGGGCTTACAGCTGAACAGAGGATGGTGGTTTTTTTGACATTTTAAGTGTTGTGTTTTACTGTGTTATGTTATGTCTTTGTCAAATTGCACTGCAGAACTTTACAGGCCAACATAAAAATGTATCTCTAAATGAACACTTACCACCTGGTTTTGTATCATTTACCGCAGTCCATCTACTGACATTAACCCCCACCTCTTGAACCAACATTTGGGTGTTCACCATCATGAATTCTCTTTAAATGAATGGGAACCACACAACTAAAGTTCCTACATAGCTCTTTGGAACTTTACCCCTTGGCAGCAAATGTTGGCCTTGTTGGAGTAGGTAGAGATCCTTCTGACATCAGTGGGACCCCTTGAATGGCCTATAGTCTATGCTGCTGTTGGACTTATAGTGGGTTGTACCTGCTTAAAAATACTGTTTTCAATGATGCACTTTTTAATCACTTACCTATCCTTATCTGGGCTTCTCAGTAGAAATAGGTTATTTTGTTAAGGTTAGGGGACAGCTAGATATTAGAGCAGGCTGGAAATTGATAATGGATTTTTGTAAACAATTAAAACTTTATTTAAAAAAAAAATCTTCTGTGAAATGTTTTTGTTTTGTTTTTCATTGACAAGCTAAAACCAAAGCAATGAAACTTTTTGATTATTTTTGTTTTTTCTCCCTTTTTCTCTCCTTTTTTTCCTCCCATTGCCCCCTTTTCCATGAGCAAAATAAAAAAAGCGAGAAAGAAAAAACTGGGAAAAAAGTCATTTGCTGACTAACCAGAAATTTTCAAACAAAACTAAAATTGTCCAGGAAAGATTTTATTTACAAATGAAAAAACATTTTTTGGTTGAAAATTGTTTTGGAACCAAACATTTTGACCAGCTTTAACATACTCTGTGTGTGTGTGTGTGTTAAAGATGGTAGGAAAACTAATTTAAATTCTTTTTTTTAAAGACCTATTTTGCCCCCATTTTTTTCCAGTTCGTACATGCGTATAGGTGTCTATGTAAAGGGAACACTCTTTCATCTTCCCTTACCACTCCAGCATAACATTATCACAGGAAAATCACTTACAACTCCAACAGATAAAGAAATACACCACATGCCCTGAGTTCATCTCACTCAGACAGTATTACAAAACCTTAACTCTGACCGCAAGGAAATTCATTTATAGTTACTATAGAAATACGCACATGAGGTTACTGTATGATGAGTTATTTTCTGTGGGAAACTGTGAGATTGGTGAACAGGTTTTACATTACAGCACATCAGATGAATTTGGGGGGTGTAATTTGTTTCTGTATCTATTGGAGGTGGAAGTGGTTTCTCTGTGGAGATGCAGAATCTGTCAGTGACCAGAGTTAGTGTGATATCTGAGTGCTTCTTTCACTTGCAGTTTCCTTGCTTTCATGGGTCTAGTTGGGTGGGTTTTGCCTTCAAGCAACCTTAACTGGTTTGTAATTAAGTTTTTTGTTTGTGGGATATTATTTATATTTTAAATACTCTTCCGTATTAACATAAAATATCTCTTTGTATCATTGTAACTCCCCCAGTAAAACCCACACTTGCACACCAAAACACTCTAAGGAACTAAGAAAGGTTAAAAAACCCATTGAAGAAATCTGGCTATGACAAGCTTTCAGAACCTGACACTAGTAGTATGTCTGCTCTACCTTTCAATCCAGTCAGAGCAGACTGCTTTGTTTTCCTTCTTCCACATACTAGTGCTTCCTTCTGCACACACACTCCTTTCATACAGTATCCACCCCTTGTCTGAAAAGGGTTGTTTTCGGGAAAGTTTTCTTATTATTGTTATTTTGATAATACATAGCTGCCACATCAGAGGACTGACAGCTTCCATTCATCTGAGTCAGGATGAAGACCCTTTTAAGGAGGCCATTATCTGTTCAGGTTGTTTAATCCCTTTGGAGGAGGCGATGGTGGGCGGGAGCCCACTTTCATCTGTGTCAAACCAATGGGAGCAGAGTTTAGCTGTCATATCAGATGTTCAGCTCAGTCAGGTGTGAAAATTTCCATTTAAAAAAAACCACTTCAATCTTTTAATCCCAAAGTATCCTGCTTGGAAACAAATCTGCAATAGATGTCATTTTATGGACTTCTTAAAGCCAAGATTTTCAAAAGTCAGTAATGATTTCAGGAGACTCCATTTTTCAGTGCCCAACTTTCGGACACCTTAAAGAGGCCTGATTTTTCTTAACTTCAGTAAGGTTGATAGACAATGTGGACCACTATTATTAGTTGTAGTGTGCAGAACACACACATGTATACCTAAAAACAGACTCTGCTCCAAGGAGCTTTCGATCTTTAAGACAGACAAATAAGGCAGTTACAACAAGAGACTAAGCATTGGACTGAAAACCTGCAACACCTGCATTCAAGGTCCCATCTCTGCCAATGTGTGGTCCTTGGCAAGTTACTTAGCTTTGGTGTCTCAGTTTCCCCCTCTCCAAAACTACTTGTTACTATCGTGTTTCTACTTCACAAGGGCACTGTGATGACTATTTTGTTAATGTTTATAGAGCACTCTGAAGCTGTAAATATTGCGTAGGCTGTAAGTGCTATGAAAATAAACAAACAAATAAAAACCTATAGGGCAAGGGTAATCCCTCTTAGTTGCCCCTTTACTGAAATGAATTCAAAAGTTTCAGATAGCCAGTGTTACCAATACCCTATCACTGATCCGCCATGAGACAGATTGTCCTTTCGTGACTCATTAAAATCTTGTTCTTTCCATTTAAAATTGATTTGTTTTTCTTCTCTCAAAAACTAGGTGCTTCTGACCTAACAGCATTCAGTGATCCCAGGGTGGGACTTGATCGCCCATTCTCCACTCTTCCTTCAATTTCTGATCCTCGTATGCACTATCCTGGAGCATTCACCTACACCCCAACGCCTGTCAGTTCAGGAATAGGAATTGGTATGTCTGCTATGACCACTGCCACAAGATATCACACTTATCTCCCTCCTCCATATCCTGGTTCTTCTCAGTCTCAAGGTAGCCCATTTCAGACCAGCTCACCTTCTTACCATCTCTATTACGGGACATCAGCAGGGTCATACCAGTTCTCCATGATGTCTGGGGGAGATCGGTCACCCCCACGTATCCTCCCTCCTTGCACTAATGCTTCCACAGGGTCTACTCTCCTCAACCCCAATCTTCCAAACCAAAGCGATGTGGTGGAGGCAGAAGGTAGTCACAGCAACTCCCCTACTAACATGGGCACCACAGCAAGGCTGGAAGAAGCGGTATGGCGACCATATTGAATTAATTATAAGTAGAGATGGGCCAGGACTAAAGTGCTTTTTATCTGCTGATGCCCATAGGTATCCCATAAATACCTTTCTTGCCTGTGGGCACTGCCATGTTTATACATCACTTTCAGAAGCAAACGATCCAAAAGTCAGTACTTCAGGAATGATGTCATGGTGTTAGCCAATCAGTGAAGGGATGTCATTCGAGAAAAGTAGCCTTTTTCAAGGGCTGAACTTCTGGAAAGGAGAACATTTAAGTTGGTCTAGAGATAGGGAAGGTGGGTAGATAGACATACCAGTGGTCTCCAAACATCCTTGATTTTGGAGGTCTCCCAAAGTCCTAAAAAGTGCTTTAGTTCACTTCTAATTTTAAGACTTAAAATCTAACACAATCTTAGTGAGTATACTTAATCATATGGACGTGTTAGTTATAAGGAAGTATAGGAAGATTCCCAGAGGGAAACTGTGAATGCTTCTGATTTAGCAATGCTGTGAATGAGAAGTTTTATATCTTGGACATTGACTTTTTTACCAAGTTATATATTCCAAAGAATATGGATTTTTTTATTATTATTAATTTTTTAAGGATGCAACTCATCCTGCTTTGCATCTAACTTCTTTTATTTCTTTTTTGGCACCTTATATATTGCAAAAAGATTTCATTTTTTTTAAAAAAATCATGCTTGCTTCTTTATTGCTTTGTCAACTGAAAGAATCAGCCCCTTTTCAATGAGGTAATTTAACTTTTTTTCTTTTGGACTTTGTGTAATGCAATGGCTACAGCCTTAGGTCATTTTCAACTACTGTACTATTATGATTTCCTCAATATTTATGCTTGATGTTTAGACTTTCCTTATTTGTTGATACTATTATTATTTAAATATGCTCTTTTCTTTTGGTAGCAGCCAAAGTTAAATTTATAACATTGAAAAAAGGCTGAGATAACGATGGGTAACGTGTTGTCTAGTTATCTAGCCATATTGTTTACATTTTGCTCCATTTATTTAATTTGCCATTTGAAACCCTATAAAGTCATTCTTTTCCTCTGCTGGTCTTTCAACACCAACGGTCACTTGAAGGATCAGCAGTGTGGAAGTATATAATTTGTAAAGCAGACACAATGGTGTCAAGCATCTCTCTTCAACCAAATATATAGGGCCATATTCTGCTATTGATCCTGCCTGGGCTTCTTATTGACTTTAGTAGGAGTCAAGTATTCATTCAAGGACAGAATCTAGCATGTAGGTGGCATGCCAAGAGTGAAATCCTGGTGCCATTTAAGTCAATTGGAGATTTGCCATTGACTTAAATGGGGTCAGAATGTCACCCAAAGTTTCCACCACAACACTGTACATACCACTGTACTAAAAAATAAAGCAAATTAACAAATCACAAGTAAATGGAGCTGAAAAGTGCTATCAGGCGCAACTGGAAACCAGAATATCAAACAAGTGGAATTTAAAAGTTCTGTGATCATATAGTTCTGAAGGAAGAGGAATATTCAAAACTGGTGCACAGAATATTCTGTCCTGTAGAAAATTTGAAATGCATTGTAATAGTACTAATCTGCTATTATGGAATCATCACTGTTGCCCATCGTTAACAGCACAAACATATCAGATGTCACTGTAAATTTTAAGGCACTATTTTATTGGAGGGTTTGGTCTGAATGCATTTGTTGTACTACTCATTAATTACAAACTGCTGATGTTGACATGTGTGCATTCAAAATGATCTGATTGTTATTTAATGTACCTCTTAAATTAGTGAAACAATTGCAGGTCAACTCAGAAGAGTATTTGAAAGCAGGACTTCAGATCAGTGTTTGATGTTTAAAAATTTTTTTTAAAGGATTTGAATTACAAAGATCCTTGGCTGCAGGCAGCAAAACAGCTGGACTTATTTAAAACAATTTGTTTTTCGAGTTTTCTTTATATAAACATATATAGATATATATATTAGGTTTTGCTTCTTTGTTTTGGTCAGATGCAGAAGCACTTTGGAATAAAACAAGTTACAAATTGAAGCATCTAACATGGTCAATAAGGTTATTCTCATGCAGAAAATGAGGGAATGTTTCAAAGGATATCAGTAGAAGCTCAAAGTTTTCTTATTATTTAAAATACATAAATTGGCATTGTCCTTTTAGTTCAACATAATTATATATTAAATTTGCTAAGAACAAAAGAAGTGGAAGACACAAAGTGTTAAAGTATATTTTGAAAGTACAGTGTCCATACTGAACTTTAACCAGCCTTTGTGACACTTTGCATAGTCAGTGTCTCTTGTCTCCAGTGACCTTGAAAAAAGTCCTTCTTCACTGCTTAGACTGTAGCACTACTGGAGAATCCACACAAGTCCGCGTGAAAAATCAGAAATTGGCCAGAAAACAAACCACATCTGTCTTTTGAAAACCATCCCTCCTTCATGCCCAGTAGCCACGTACTTTGTTTTTAAGCAATTGTCTTGATCATCAACAAATGATGAGGACGATATATGTGGCATACCTTTGAGACTGTACAAAAGCACTTAGCAGGTGAAAGAAGGAAGTTTAAGCAAGACATTTCCTGTATTCGTGCCTCTCTAAATTAATTCAGTTTTATCATTCCTGTTGTTGAATTAAACCTAAAAGGACAGTTCCATTTCCCTACAAACTGTTCTGCCCCTGCAGATGGCTCAGGATTCTAATCCCACTAAAATAGACAATTACTCATATTTTCCCCCAAGGGTTGGGTTTGAATGTTCCTTTTGCAAAATATAATTTGTAACCATGTTTGAAACAACCCTGCTTAGCAGTCAAAGTACTATTAGACTTGAGTAAATATAGGACTTGACTCTCATTTGCATGAAGGCTCCTTTCCACTGCTCTGTAAATTACATTTCTACCCACTCTAAGTCCCCCCCGTTGCACAGCCAGAACAGTCCTTCGTGTAAGTGGCAGTCAGGCCCATCCTGTCTTACTGCTACTGAGGATTTTATGCATACTTATGATAAATAATTTTTTGGAAAGGAGACAAGCAATTTCCAGAAAGTGGCCCACAGTCTGAGATAGGTGATATGTGTCCTGGTTTGCCTGTGTCCTTGAAACATTCATGATTATTTTCTGAGTGACCTTTTTCATTGATTTGTTTGAAAATTCAGAAATAATAGATTATTTTTTATTTGAGCAAAATACTTTCTTGTTTACCTGCATCATAACATTTTTTGTTAATTTAGCTTGGTCAGTACTGATCACTTGGCATTTTTTTCTCCTTATTGTAGAAGAGTTGCATCAACAGACTTACTTGTATTTATGTATGTAAATAGAGTTAAAAAGCTACATAGCAAAATATTGTTAGTGCTTGTAATTACTCTGCATTTTTTTAATTTTTCTGTGTTTTTAATGAACTTATCCTTGTGTTGGCAAAATACTGAAGTGAAGCTTGTTTCTTTCCAACTTAGTTATTTTAGGCTTCAAAATTAACTACATTTTATTCACTTTTATAAACAGTTATAGCATGGTCTCTGTCAAACACACTTCACTTCTTTTTTTTTTTTTTTTTTTTTTTGTAGGGGAGAAATGAATGTGCAAAAAACTGTGGGTTCTTTGTGGTTTTCTGGCTGTGACAGTTATGACTTCATTTAAAAAAAGAAACTTTCAGTCTGAAATGACTGTATGGTAAATCTGATAGAGAACGCAATGGGAAATGTGATCCTATCAGAACAGCATCAGAGTATATTTGTTCAGCATTTACTGGATATGTTTACAAAACAGATGTTGCAATGTACTGGAATGGTCACATTTTCCTTCAAAACTGTCACCCTGAACTTTTTCAGAAGGGGAAACTTTTAAGCACTGGTGGTTTATTTGTTGTTGTTGTTGTTTTTTTAACCAGATAGGAAAAGAAAATGGAGTAGATTTCCCCCACTACAAGATGTCTCTAGATACCGCGTCAAAGTAGACACTTACTGTACATAGTGAAGGCAGTATCCAGTGCTACAGGAAAATTCATGATGACTAGCATGCCGAGCAGCTGGACTGCTAACTTAGTTCTAATGGAGACTTTCTTTCTTTCTTTGTACCACAGTTTCTTCTGTAAATTCAATATTATAATTAGTGTGAATGACAAATAAAATGTTTGACAAGTAACCACGTTGGATTGGTTTGTTCTTTTATTAGGAAGGGAATAGCCTGTAACTCCAATAGTGAAAGGCCATTGGCAAGGTATCAATCACAATTTCAAAAAGATTTTCCTTACAGTTTGCCAGTCATATGCTGACATGCTTACTCTTTTTTTTTAATTCCATACCCTTCTAGAGAAGGCCAGCACAAGACCTCTTAGGTCACTTAAGTCTTCAAAATAGAACTTTAAGTGCTGCGGAGGCCTAACAATTGAATTAAGTTTTTGGCTTCTTAATTAAATCAGAACTTTCCAAGAGGTTTGGCCAATGTACATGGCAGAGGGGCATTGCTGGCACATGATGGCATATATCACATTGGTAGATGTGCAGGTGAACGAGTCCCTGATGGCGTGGCTGATGTGATTAGGTCCTATGATGATGATGACCTAAACCAGACAGTCTCTATGCAAAAGAATTAATGGGCACAAATCTGACATCAGGAATCATAACATTCAAAAACCAGTAGGAGAACACTTTAACCTGTCTGGTCACTCAATGACAGTCCTGCGGGTGGCAATTTTGCAACAGAAAAGCTTCAAAAACAGACTCCAACGAGACACTGCTGAGCTTGAATTGATATGCAAACTAGATACAATCAACTTAGGCTTGAATAGAGACTGGGAATGGCTGAGCCATTACAAACATTAAATCTGTCTCCCCATGTAAGTACTCTCACACTTCTTATCAAACTGTCTGTACTGGGCTATCTTGATTATCACTTCAAAAGTTTTTTTCTCTCACTTAATTGGCCTCTCAGAGTTGGTAAGACAACTCCCACCTTTTCATGCTCTCTGTATGTGTATATATATCTCCTCAATATATGTTCCATTCTATTCATCCGAAGAAGTGGGCTGTAGCCCACGGAAGCTTATGCTCAAATTAATTTGTTAGTCTCTAAGGTGCCACAAGTACTCCTGTTCTTTTTGCGGATACAGACTAACACGGCTGCTACTCTGAAACCTGTCTTCAGTAGGTGTTCCGACAGTATCTTATCTCTTTCACCACTTCATTTGGCATTGTAGGATGCATTCTGTCTAGCTCTGCTGAGCAGTACTTTAATTCAGGAAGCATCAAAACAAATAGTTCTAGATAATGTAACTCACAAGGGGCATTGGCAATTTAAAAAAAAATAATGAAGAAATTCTATGCCAACGACTAGCGTTAATGCAACATTAATGTCAGGGAATCAAGTGGATCAACAGAGCTAAGACTGAAAGTTCAATCTTAAATCTTCCATTTGTGCATATATTTTAAAATATGTTTTTGTAACTTCACACTAAATTTGTCAATACACTATATTATATAATACAAATTAAGCCTCTTATACAGCCTTCCATACAGCAAGGTGCAGTACAGTATATATCAGATTTGCCTTCATTTATGCTGTCAATGAGATCTACAAAACAAGCCAGTATAAAGAGAATCTGTTCTGCTATATGACACCTTGTCAGACACCACACAGTCCC